TGTCCGTGTCTGTGTGTCTGTCCGTGTCTGTGTCCGTGTGTCCGTGTGTGCGTTCCCGTCCCCGGTGTGTCCAGCAGGGTTCCCCATGTCCTACCTTCCATGATGGAGATGTGGACGGCTCTCCGCCGGGTGCGGGGCACGCTGCTCAGCCGGGGCCCGTGCGTGATGGAGGGGCAGCTCCGGCTCGGCACCAGCCCGGCCCTGGGGACAGGAGAGGGGACAGGATCAGGGCCGGGACAGAGCCAGCGCTGCAGGCACGTGGCAGTGCCAGGGCCATGTGTGGCAGTGCCAGGGCCATGTGGCACTGTCCTGGGCCATGTGGCAGTGCCAGGGCCATGTGGCAGTGTCCTGGGCCATGTGGCAGTGCCTGGGCCATGTGGCAGTGCCTGGGCCATGTGGCAGTGCCAGGGCCATGTGGCAGTGCCCTGGGCCATGTGGCAGTGCCCTGGCCATGTGGCAGTGCCCTGGGCCATGTGGCAGTGCCCTGGGCCATGTGGCAGTGTCCTGGGCCATGTGTGGCAGTGCCCTGGCCATGTGGCAGTGCCTGGGCCATGTGTGGCAGTGCCCTGGCCATGTGGCAGTGTCCTGGCCCATGTGGCAGTGCCCTGGGCCATGTGGCAGTGCCCTGGCCATGTGGCAGTGCCCTGGCCATGTGGGAGTGCCCTGGGCCATGTGGCAGTGTCCTGGGCCATGTGGCAGTGCCCTGGGCCATGTGGCAGTGCCCTGGCCATGTGGCAGTGCCCTGGGCCATGTGTGGCAGTGCCCTGGCCATGTGGCAGTGCCCTGGCCACTGTCCCAGCCCGGGTCCCTCCCCTGGAGCTGCTGCCAGGCTCTCACCGGTGAATCTCGGGGGGCTCCCTCTTGATCTTGGCGCTGGACTCCATCACCTCCTTGGCGACGCGGCCGCTGCAGGGGGACAAGAGCAGCAGAGGTGGGGACGGGAGCACAGCCCTGGCAGCCACGGGCACAGCCTGGGCCCTCCCCACACAGCTCCAGAGCAAAGCTGAGGTGTTTTCTCCAGGGGCACGGGGGGCGGTGGAGGAGCTCGGGAGGCTGGGCTGACACCTCTGCCACCACAGTTCGTTGCTTCTTGTGGCAGGGGGACACGGGGGGTCACCTCCCCTCAGCTGAGGTGGACACGACACGGGCATCCAGGTCCTCCCATCTCCCATGGCAGGCAGGAGGGTGCCAGCACTGTGCTCCTCAGTGCTGGGGACACTCTGGGCTGTCTCATCCTGCAGACACGAGGTCCCACGTCCAGCCTCTTGCTCCAGCAGCTCAGTGCAGGAATTTAGGGCTAGTGGTGGTTTGTGTCACGCCTCATTGTTCTCAACCCCCAGCTCCTCTTCCACCCTCCACTCCTGTCCCTCCAAAACCTCTCCTGTGGGGCTGGGGGTGGGGGTGGCCTCTGTGACACAGAGACAGCAGCAGAGGGGGCCTGCTGGGGTCAGCGCTGCAATGGGGGGTCTCTGGAAGACCCCGGGGTGTCCCTGGGCTGCTGCAGCCCCGAAATGCTCCCCAAAAGAGCTCACAGTTAACAGCCAGCGCTGCTCCTGCTGCACGATTTACCTGTATCGGAAGCGGCTGCCCTTGAAGAACAGGTTGCTGCTGGACACCGTCCGCACCTGGCTCGACTTCTCCAACCTGCAACAGCACCAGTGTGAGAGTCCTGCTGTGCTGGGAGGCACTGGGAGGCAGCGAGGCCGGCTGACAGAGCCCTGGAGCTGTGCAATGTCCCCAGGAATGTCCCCGCTGCTGGCAGCGGTGGGTGGCGCTGGCAGGGGGGACAGCACAGCTCATCCCTGCCCGGGATGGAGCCACTGCCCGGGGCAGGACCACAGCTCCTCCGGGGCCGTGACACCCACGGGCAGCCACTGATGCTCTCCGGGGGCCTGGGAGCTGCCGTGGGAACGGCAGGGTGACACACTCGGGCCCTGCTGGGCAGGGGACACTCGCCAGGGCGGGTGGAGCTGCCCAGAGGCACCGCCCGACCTCCCGATCCCCCGATCCCCCAGCCCAGCCCGTGCCTTCACACCCCAGAGCGATTCACTGGCACCAGCAATCACCGAGAGATTTGTAAAGCAATACGGCAATTTCATTTCATGTTCATGTAATGAGGAGTGAAACCTGCTGATTGCGGCTGCTGATTGCAGAATTCCCGGTGGGAATGCATCGCGTGCTCTGTCTCGCAGCTTGCTGATTGAAATAAAACTCATTATGAAGCACAAAGCGGCCTGGGTTAAGTGTGGCATGAACAGGATGGTGCTGCTTTGCATTCCAGGCTTCATCCCAAATAATTAGTTATAATTTCCTGATGGAGGTTTGCTGACGAGGGATGAGCACAGAGGGGCTGGGAAAGGAGGGACCCCATCCAGGGGCACCGGCGCTTTTGGTGGCTGGTGGCTCTGCCAGGGCCACTGGGACGAGGTGACACGGCCAGTGACCGACCCCACAGGTGGGCACCAATCCACAGGGGCTGCAGGACACCCCACAAAGCGGCACTTACTTGTAGAAAGCCTGGTTCTCGATCCCACACTTCCAGAGGTGTTTGCAGGCTTCTGGTGTCGGCGCAAAATAGGTGAGAACGATTTTCTTCTCCTAAAGGAGAAAGAGAGGGAGTCGGGGGAGAGCAGGGAGTGGTGCTCACCCCACAGCCAAAGAATGGAGTAGCCAGAGCTGGAGAGCGGCACTGGCACAGGCGGATCCTGCTCTGGAGCCGTTTGGGATGCAGGGATCAGCCTGGTGCAGCACCTGGCACGAGGGATGGGCAGATGTGCTCCAGTGGCCACTCTGCTCCCGGCCTTGGGGAACAGGCAGGAACACAGCTTGGAAAAAATCCCCGCTGATGGCTCCTGTGGGAGCCAGCTCCAGCCAGGGGTCTGTGGAGGGAGGTGACCCCAGCCCCGGCACGGAGCTGCAGCTGCTGTCCCCATGTCCCTGCCCCGCTGCCACGTCCCCAGAGAAGCCGCTGGAGGAAGAACCACGCTGTGCCCAGGACGGGAAGGGGGAGCACTCACCTCCTTCTGACTTACGTACAGATAGAAAGTCTTCCCTTCGAATTTCATCTTGGTCACCTCGTTCCTGGGGGGACAAGGACAGCCAGGTGGGGCTGTGCAGGTGGGGCTGTGCAGGTAGAGCTGTACAGGTGGAGCTGTACAGGTGGGGTTGTTCAGGTAGAACTGTACAGATGGGGCTGTACAGGTGGGGCTGTACAGGTGGGGTTGTTCAGGTGGGGCTGTGCAGGTGGAGCTGTGCAGGTGGGGCTGTACAGGTGGGGTTGTTCAGGTAGAGCTGTACAGGTGGGGTTGTTCAGGTGGGGCTGTACAGGTGGAGCTGTACAGGTGGGGTTGTTCAGGTGGGGTTGTTCAGGTGGGGCTGTGCAGGTGGAGCTGTTCAGGTGGGGTTGTTCAGGTGGGGGTGTTCAGGGGGGGCTGTACGCGG